GGGGGGTGGAGGCAGGATGAGTTCTGAATTAACCAAGGAACAAAGACAAGAGACCAGTACCTGCTGGGAACACGAGTGAATTCCTAAATATCCAAACAGTTGATCTTGTCTCTCCACTTCGGAAGAGAGCAATAGGGTGTTTGTGCTTCTTGGAGACGTTATTGCTGTTTTTGACCACTCCTAATTTGTCAGCAATCTCTTTCCCTGAAAACAGCGATTTCACTCGCCCCTCTGTTACAGATGCAGGAAGACAGTAGAAGCCCAAGAAGGTTTAAGAGGGAAGGGAAGTGGGGATCCATCCTTCTCCCCCTTCCCAGCCTCAGGAACACGCTGCTGTAGCTAGACAGAATTGCCTTTTTGTCTTTTAGCTAAGTTGGGTTTTGACAGGCCCCTTTTGCTCTCCTGTCAGCTTCTCAATTCAGGCAATTTCACGGCTTCTTTTCTGCAGCAGAGCACGTTAGCCGTTTGCGGTAGCTGGGTTGTTAGATGGAGCCACAGGCACAAGAGCCAAATTGCTAAGCAGCCCCAGCTTGACTACAGCCCAGGCCCTTACTAGAGGTTCTATTGGTGACCTGGTGGCAGTTGAGGCATAAGAGTAATCAGGGAAGCAGTAAGGGGATCGTGTGTCCTGATTAATACTCAGGACAATTGGATGGCCAGCTCTCTGTACTCTTACTGTCAATGAATTGGAATTTTTTTTAAAAAATGGGTCTCATCCACTCATTTAACAAACCTTTATAGAGAGCTGTGCTGAAGTTTTGCTGAACATAATTAGTTGATGAAACCAAGCTGTGCTAAGGGGAAGAGAGGGTCAGGCAAGGAGTGACAAGATCAAGGTCTAAGTCAGAAGCTTGGCTCTTTGCTCAGAACAGGAGGGGCAGCTGGAGGGCCTGCCATGAAGGCCAGAGGCTGGGAGATGAGATTGGAAGATAGAAACCTGGGGCTGGGAAAGGCAGCTTGTCAGGCTTCCAGCCTGCAGTGGGGACTTCAGGGGGTAGTGTCAGTAAAAACCTCTGCAGACTCTCAAGACCATGTCATTTCAAGACTTGTTGGGACCTTAAAATGTCACGACCACAAAAATAAAGCCTCTCCTTTAGCATAGTATCCCACCAGCTTTGACTCTGGGCTGTCCCACTCTCTGTATGGTTCCCAGCTCCATACATACCAGCCTTGGCAACCTTTTGTGCCAATGTCCCTCTGTTTGCCTGGTGAATCCCTAGGCACCCATGAAGAGCCATTGTAGCTGTCACTTCTCTTACCAAGTTTACTTTGACGTTTCTGGACTGAGTTCTCTCCTCTGCCCCACAGCATCTTGGATGCAGTCCCAACAGAGGGTCCATGATGTCTCTTCGGGGGTCTCTCTGCCCTTCTAGACTAGAGAGGTCACGGGGGATGACCCTGGTGCAGAGCAGGTGTGCTGAGTTCTCTGGAAAATGACCAAGTAACACGTGAAGGAGTCGGGAACTAGGCTGCTGCAACTACAGTCTAAGTGAACCTGGGGGAAATGTTGTCCTTTGACTTTTTGGTATGTAAACAGAGATCACAACTGGCCTCCTGGAACTGGGTGGGGGGGGATTCAAGAAGGTTCTACATAACCATGCTTGGAATGGGGATAGACCCTAGTGAGTGCTAGTACTAATAGGGGTTGTGTTTTTTGGAACAAGAGCTGGGAGAGGGCAAACACAGAGAAGAGTGGGGAATCTCAAAGAAAGGTAAACTAAGTCCTCTCCATCTGCATTGCTGGAAGTGCTCTAGCTTCAGCGTGCCAGGGAGTTTGAGGAAGCCATTTTCTCATGAATTCCTTTGAAATGCCATGGGTGGGGGATCAACTATGCTATTCCCAAACTCTCCTCCTTCCTGGGACCATTTGCTGCTCCCATCTGCTATAGAGGGAGCATGTTAAGGGAGTCCACTAGAACTGGGCTAGAACTCTGCCATCTGTCATGTTAATGAATTCTGCTATAGAGGGAGCATGTTAAGGGAGTCCACTAGAACTGGGCTAGAACTCCTGCTCTGCCATCTGTCATGTTAAGCGGTCTTGGGTAAGAAGTGTCACCTAAGTCTTGATTTGTACTATGCAAAGGTGAATGACTACTTCCCCATCTCTGTGGGTAAGGTGGGTGCAGGCAGGCGCTCCGTGCTCAGGCTATGGCATCAGGCTATTTCTGCTCAGCCCCGGTTCTATTGTTAGCTAGGTGTCTGGATGAGTTACCAATCTTTCTGTGTCTCAGTGTCTGCTTGTGAAAATAAGGTAATAGTAGCTCCTAGGCTGCTGAAGTGGATCAGCCTCGAGTTTATATGAACTCCAGCCACTCGAGACATCACTATAGAGC